ATGACATCTATAATGACATCCATAATGGCATCCATAATGATATTCATAGTGTATACATTCATATTATGATATTTTATTGAAGTGAGTATACAAAGATTGAGAGATTTAAAGGGTAAAACTCAAAACTTTTTTTTAAATGTACTGGCGGAATTTTTTCATTTAGTTACAAAGTTACAATGAAATGGAAGAAAAGATTGGTTCATCAAAATCAAAAATCATCAAAGTTATCGGCGGCAAAATTTCTTTTATATAAAAATCTGTATGTATAACTTTTTTATCGATGCTTGATAAATTTAATTGGATATGAGCCAAGGCACGATCGTACGTACATGATCAAAATAGATAGATGATACGTTCCCGTGTATGAAAGTGGCTAAATTTTTTTTGAACCAATTATGATAATGTAATAATAGGATTAATCATCAAAATACATTTTTTCCGCAGCAATGAATTTTTTTTTTAATGTTTGACAAAACAACGCAGGGCATCAATTAACGGCTTCATTAACATTGACGTTAATCCTAATTCATTAACACACATAAGAACTAATTTAATCTCTGATATCGTTAGTGATGAAAGATGACGTTTTAAAAATTCTATAACGACGAGACAATGAACATTGTTGATGGTAAATATATATATACATATATATATGTCGATATATATCGATGTATATAATGTTTATATATATATTTATATTAGATATAAACATTTATACATATTATACATATATATACAGTCTATATATATCGATATATATATATTTATATCGGATTTTTTAGATCGATTTACAAATAGATTTAATTACGATTTGTAAGTTTACTATGCATTAAAAATGTTCAATGAAAATTGTAAAAGGTGAAAAAAGGCGATTGTATAGTTCAAACGACACTTATGACGAGCAAATGATCAACCTTCTTTCTAATAATATCGCCGACCACTAGTACAATGAAAATAATCGCATACATATATTTAAAGCTTAGAACACTTTTATTTTATCGAACTAAATAAGTCTAACAAAGAAAATATTTATATTTTATCAAATACTGGAGTATGAGTATGAGTATGAGTATGAGTATGCCTCACATCATTCACATAACACATAACATTCACAAATCATTCAAATCTCAGGATCTACGAGATCTCGTTAATTTTTTTTGCAAAAAGAAGTCAACAAATGCCACACTTTATTTTCTTTATATTTGTTTATACTATATTCCTTTAAAAAAAATTAATTTTTTCAAATTTCCAAGGATTTCTAAGGGATATGCTATCAATAAAGATAAATGAAGATAAATGAAGACAAATTAAGATAAATGAAGATAAATGAAGACAATTTTTTTTTCCTTGCCGTAAGAACGGAGACCAGGTATCTGAATATTATTAATTTTCCATATGTCATTCGTTGGAAACTATTTCTTATTATCGTTATTGGAAAATCATTTTCATGTATCGTTTTTTCATGTACCATTTTTTTCATGTATGTATGTACGTATGTATTGTACGTACTGTTCCCAGATCTCTGTGTTCTCTGTATTCTCTATTTTGTTCCCTATATTTTTTTTTTCTATATTCATTACGAAAAGTCGATAATCGATAATCGTACCTCCTTAGAGAGATCCTTGTTAATTTGATTATACATAACAGATAAAGAAAATCGAAGATACGTATTCAAACAACAAACACGTAATACATTCTACTTATTGACTTTGTTTTTTTCATTCATGCTAAACATTAAAATTTTTAAATATGTAAAATATGTAAGATATGTAAGATATGTAAGAAATGTAAGGGTATTTAATGAATCAAGAAAGACTTCACTTCTAGTGCTAGGCGTATGTCAATCCTTTGTTTTTTTTTAGTCTTGTGACTAATGTATTATTATATTTGGCTCATCAAAAAAATACTTAGCACATGATAATATGATACCAATGCGATTATATTGATACGTATGTATCTCGAAATTGAATTGTTTATATTATAGTATTAAAAATAGTATTAAAAATAATATTAAGAATTGTATTAAGAAATAACTTTTTTATTTAAAAAAAGACCTTCCATAACTATTGTATTCTCTTTAATAGATTTCTTAAAGTTCGTTTATAATACATTTTATCATAAATCTTATCACTTAAAGTCTATAATCGTGTGATATACAGTATCTGGTATAGTACATACATACGTACGTATTATGACAGATAGTAGTACTGTAGTATATCCCGAATATCGTGTATCCTGAGTATTCCCGTACCCTGTATCCCGTCTACATAATCATAAAGTATGAATGAACACAACACAAAATCACTTACTCCAATAAAAAGTCATCTCAACTATAAGCAAGGGGGTCTTCGTTAATTATTCAAGTTCTTGGTTAAATTAGAATAAATCTTAATGGATCGACTCAAACATTGTCTGATAAATAAAGCTTTGAATGAATTTTTTTTAGTAATAAAGTTTTTTTTTTTTTTTCTCATTTTTTTACAGCATGAACAGATTAAAAAAATCCATTATAGTTCATTATATAGTTCATTATAATAATGGATTTTTTGGAATTTTTTTCTTCTCATAGATGTCCTTTGTAAAATGTAGAATGTATCCATGAACGGAAAAAGTTTTTCTTAAACATTAAATTACATTGAACATGAAAATATGTAAAATTACTCATAAAAAGTTTAATAATGGATACATCTACAGTAACAATTGATATTAAAAAAGTTAGAATGTAACGTGGTCAGAAAAAAATCACGCTTTAGATACCTTAGATACCGTAGATACTTTAGATACCTTAGATATTTTAGATAGTAAACAACTTTGAAATGTAAGGAGTTCTCTCTTAAACTTATGTAAGGAGGGCATTTTCACTCAAAAAAAAAAAAAAAAAAAAAAAAAAAAGAAACTTTCTTTCGTACATTTTCATATTATTGAAATTATTAAAATTATTGAAATTATTGAAATTATTGAAACTATTGAAACTATTGAAATTATTGAAAGTGCTTAACCTACATTTTTTTCCATTTTTCTCAAGCATTGTATGAATTCGATTCTTCGCATAAATAAAGAATGTTCTCATAATCATAACTAATTCAAAAATAAACCAAGAGTAAATCGAGAGTAAATCAAAGTAAATCAAGAGTAAATCAAAAGTAACTCAAGAATTATATTTGTAAGAGGTGCAGGAACGCCCAGAGCATTAAACTTGGAAAGAGAGACTCTAGTTATTTTATAATAATTACAGTAAATGTTAAATTTCGGCCTTTTGTTTTTTCATGTGAAATATGTGAAATGTGAAATAAATTAGATAAAAAACTTTTTACTTAAATCATTTGTAAATCAACGTATATTAAATAAAGATACATTTTTTTTTTGCAAGGAAAATTCGAAGGACTTCCTCCTTAATTATTTTCTCTCAGAGATGTAACTTTAAAAATATGATTAATTTGTCATCCTAAAACAGCGTAGCTTAATTTTAGTAAATAACATCTTGTGAAAGTATCCCTAACTTTACCTCTTTTGGCTTTGAATATGTGTTTATCAAAAAGTTTAGAGTCGAGCCTATAATGAGTCGACGACAAATGTGAATATTGAAAATAGATCTCGAGGTCATTTTTATTATAAAAATAACAAAGTAACTTGGATTAATTAATAGGTGAATCATTTTTTTTTAGAAATTTTTAGAAATTATTATTAAATTATTAAATTACTAAATTACTAAATTATTAAATTATTGAACGATATATTTTTTTTTGAAGTTTTTTTTAAAAAAAAGAGAAAGAGAAAAAAGAGTTTTTTTTTTTTTTTAATTATCTTCGACAAAACACAAATTCATTACGTATCTTATTACTCATTAATGTTAAAAACTCGTGCGTGTACATTACATATTACTTAATTAGTTTACTGTTTCAAAGTTGCTTCCCAAATTCAATAATGTTTCATAATAATTAATTTTATACTCATAAATGGAATTTAAAATTCATATAGTTGATTTGTTCTTTTACTTTACCTAGAATTCTAATTACCCTTCTTCATTATTTAAATTTTAATAATACATCCGGCCAACTTCAATAAAATCTGAGAATAACAGAATCAATATATATATAATATATATATATATCTATATTATAAAAATATACAGTATATATATATAGTATATATATTTCTTTCTAGCCAATTTTGAAATCATAAATTAAATAGTTCATTCAAATGGATTGAAAAGAATTATTAATCACTACATTTTCATCATTGATCGATAATCCTTTAGTATGGTTCACTTTTTTTTTTTTTTTCCTTCGAATTTGGAAGGAGTAAAAAGGTCTTGGACAAAATGTCACACGTTAGACAATAAAGAATTAAACAAAAAAAGTTTTTTTTTTTTTTTTAATATATATATATATATATATATATATATATATATGTCAAGCGGTTTAAAAACATAATGCCTTTCGGGTGATAACAGATAACTTGATAACTTGATAACTCGTGTGATATATATACCTCTCTAAAATCACCAATATATCACGCTTTTGATGCACTGGCATGCATAACATGTAAACGTGAATCTACTATTTACTTTAAAAAAAAAAATAATATATATTACGTATTAATATATACTGTAAAATAAAGTATTAAAGTATATATTGTAGCTTTTATAATTTATAATAACTTTATATATAACTTATAATAATAATTTAAATACATAAAAAAAAGTTTGAGTATTTTTATTACAATCAATCGTAAATTGAAACTAATTATAAAAAGACGCCCGCTTGATACACACCCTCAACAATTGATCGGTTTTTTTTTTTCTCTTAAAGTTTTTGCTTTCTTCTTAAATAATAGTAATAATAATAATAATAAACCGTCCATTTTTTTTTTTTTCTTAAAAGAAAAAAAAAAGCAAATTCTTGTTTAATTATTATTCACTACATACATACAATTCGTTTTTTTTTTCTTTTTTTTTTTTTTTTAGAAAAAATTTATCCCTATTACTACATAACTACATAATGGATGAAGAGGCCAGGAAAAAACATTGTCATCTCTTAATGTTTGACGTTCCTGAATATGGGCAAGACGCGATTTCTATTAACGAAAATATTAATATCAATGAAATTGATAATCCTCATCATTTCGCTTACTATGATAACGGTTCTATGTTTAAACGTACCGTAGAACCTCTTAATCATGTTCATAACATAATTGAACCATCTGCTCTTGATGTTTCCAATTCATCTGAGTCTCCTGCTGATATAAACTCATCATCAAATATTCAAAATATTCAAAATATTCAAAATATTCAAAATATTCAAAATATTCAATCATCTGTTCAACAATCATCTGTTATTCCTGTCACTCGATCCATAAAACCTACAAAAACTAGAAAACCAAGAGCTCGTAAACCAAAAAGAACTCCTAGACCACCAAATGCTTTCATTTTATATAGAAAAAATAAGCAACCTGATGTAGTTGCTCAAAATAAAAATTTAACTAACGCTGAAGTATCCAAAGTTATTTCTAAAATGTGGTGGAAAGAAACTGAAGAAATAAGATTTCAATGGGAAAAACTTGCTGATAGAATGAAACTTAAACATATGCAAGATCATCCTGATTATGTGTATCAACCAAAGAAATCTGGTACCAAGAAGCCACGTAAATTAACAAAAGGTCGCGACTGTAATTCTTCTTCTACTACTACTACTTCTACTTCTTCATCTTCTACCACAACAACTTTCTCATCAATTCCTCCAACCGATAAACATGTTTCAATGGCTGATGAAGCAATGATTACCGCAATAGCTGAATCTGCTTTTGCCGAAAGTAAATCTTCTCCTCCATCATTTCTTTATCCGGTGACTCCAAACTCACCTTCTTCATCTTTTCCTTCACCTCCACTTTCTGAACGTTCATCAAATCAATCTTCTACCGTTCATACTCCATCTTCTCCAATTACTGCTCCTCCAATTATTACTACTCAAAGCATTAATAATCCATCCATGAATCAAAGAATACATAATTCTCATAATACACATAATCAATTAATATATTCTCAACAACTTCCTCCAACTCCAGAAATGGTTCATTATGAATTAACTCCTCAATATTTGTTACCAACTTCCGAAAATTTTATGACTATTGATCCAATTTTATCTGGTACACCAAATAATACATATGTACATATGCAACATTTTGGTAATATAGAAACCAATACAACAAAATCTTTCTTTAATACATCAACTCATAATTTAGATACTTTTTTAGATCCTCAACCAGTAGATAAATTTCAATATTTTGTTCAAGGTTTTGATACTAATTCTGTAGAAAATTTTTCTAATGGAAATAATGGTGGTGGTGGTGGAAATGGTGGTGGAAATAATGGAAATGGAAATAATAATAATGGTGGTACTGGTGCTTTATTAGAAGAATTATTTAGTAGTAGTAATACAGTTACAGCTAATTCAACTCCTGATGTTGATGATATGGACGCTTATTTTGACGAACCTTGTTCGTCTCAACATCATTTTCAAAATATTCATTTTTCTAGGAGAAGTAGTTTCGCTAGTATGAGTTGATAAAAAAAAAAAATTTCTTTTTGTATATGTTTTGTTCAAAACAAAAAAAAAACATTTTTTCATACCCCAACAATTATAAGAATCACAACTAAGTTTTTTTTTTTTTTTTTTTTTCGTTCGTCTTTCTTTTTTTTTTTTCTTTCTTTCTTTCTTTGAAATTTTTGTAACCTTTAAAATTTTTTGAAGCTTTTGAAATTTTTAAAACTTCTGAAACTTCTGAAACTTTTGAAACTTTTGAAATTTTTGAAATTTTCGAAATTTTCGAAATTTCGAAACTTCGAAACTTTAAAAAAACACAAACAAATCGAATCATAAAGTCTTTTTCTCTTTTATTCTTGTAAATATATTTTTTTTTTGGGGGGAAGGTTTTTTTTTTTCTCGGCACGGATTACTTTTCTTTTTTTTTTCATGCAATTTATTGCTTTACAACATTTTACTTTACCTCACTCTAAGCTTTTTTCAATACAACTTAATTCACAATACTAAAGACAAGAACATTATAAAAAAAATAAACATACGTTTAACCTAAATTTTAATAATAGATCTAAGCTCCCATACACAGGCATTTTTTTTTCGATTTTATCATTTGAATTTTTTTTTTTTCTTCTTCTCATTTTTTCGTCCTCTGTTTTCTTTCCTTTAAATTTCGAAAATCATTTTAGACAACTACTATTTTTTTTTTTTTTTTTCTTTAATACAAAAAATTAATCGTGATAATTTTTACACGTAAAAATATTGTAAACTTTTTTTTTGTTATAGCAAAAATTTATTTTTCTAATACTGTATGCGTATACAAAAAATTACATCACACCCTATGTTGAATAAAAAATAACGTGCACCTTCCGTGCACCTTCACTTTTAGATTTTTTTATTGAAGTTTTTTTTTAAAAAAAAATTTGATTATCAAGAAAGATTAAAGATAGTGTATGAACCAAAGAAATAAAATCTGCTTACGTACAGTACATATGTACGTACAATACATACTCAAACCTGTTGTCATTAAACAATAGCAAACAGATAAAGGATGTATGCGTAGTAATTCTATTAATGAATTAACATATCGATATCGAATATACAGTACGTAGTAGGATCAATGAATATATATATGCTATCTAAATGCGGGGTGGGAAAGAAAAAAAAAAAATCTTAACCCTGATTAATACATGTGATTACGTAATTCTTATTTGATTTTTTTGGAATTTGATTTTTTTCAGTTTTTTTTTAAACGGTTAAATTATGATTAAAAAAAACTTTTTTTTTTATTGGAGAATTTTATTTAATTAACTTTTTTTAATTAATTATCATATAGATGGTAAATTATTTTGATAAATATGGTTTAACTTTTTTTGGATTTCGATTACGTGATTAATAATAACAAAAAAAGTGTTAATACTTTATAGAAGTATTGTAAACGTGGTTATTAGAGATATACTGTAATAAAAACTTTATCACTATAAATAGATCTATGTTTTTAAAATATTTATGTAAATATTTTGCTTACGTCAACAACATTTCAACTTATGTAAACGTAGAGAGAAGCTGCGTACTATAGAGAGAGCTATAAAGAGAAGTCAAGTCTATAAAGAGAAGTTACTTTATAATAAACGTTATATACGAGTACTCTTATAGGAAGTTTTTAAAGAGAAAACTTGTTAATAATTTAAGATATATATTAAAAGGCATATTACCGTATATATTAAGTATATATTACAATACGTACATGTGTTATGTGATAATACAGTATCAAACAATTTGTTCAGTGTACCTGTTTCTAAATTATTATTATTTGAATAAACTATATTAATCGGAATTAAAAGGACTTTACGCGCATCAATTTTACCGGAAAATAGCCTTTTTCATACATACAATATTCGTTAGAATTAATATACTATTTACGTTAGATTCAGTTTTTTTTCCTTATTTCCTGATTTACATAAAAAAAAAAAAGATTTACAGGGTATTCGATCATGTTACACAAATAAATTAAATCTTCTAAATATTTAACGTTGTGATTTATGAAAAAAAAAAAATGAAGGATATATCATTGACATTTTCTATTTATGGGATTGAATTAAAACGAAACAAGCTACTGTATTAAGCTATTAAACTTTGTTTACTAAAAAAAAAAAGCAAAATTTTTTTTTATTATATTGTAGTGTTTGATTCAACTTTTTTTTATTACTAGTGTTTGATTCAACTTTTTACTACCTTCTTTAAGCGCACGCTCTTAGGACTAGCGCTAGTGTTTCAAATCAGTCGGCTTGCTACGGTTTATTTCCCACACCCATTATAAATATTAGATTGTAGCAAATAAGCTGCAGCAAGCCGGCTGATTTGAAACAAGCGCTAGTCCTAAGAGCGTGCGACTTAGAGAATAATATTTTGGTCAGAATTGAGAGTACGTTTTAAAGAGGGCGTACACTTGGTGCGCTTAAAGAGGTTTCACTGTATAAAATTTACTGAATAAAATTTACTGAATAAAATTTACTGTATAAAATTTACTGTATATAAAATTTACTATATAAAATTTATAACTATAACTATAATATCATCACTTTTAAATCAAAGATTAAACTTGATCAAATTACTAAAATAAAAGGAATTCATTCATTTAATGTTACAATCAAAAAATAATAATATTTTTTTTTTGATAAATTCTTATAAACCAAATATAGATAAACAAAGTTTTTCCAGTATAAATGGTTAAATAAATTGTTTATTGAAGTTTAAAGTTATTAATTGAAAGATGCTTTAAACGTTTGTCACAAAAGATAAACAGGAAGGGGCTCTTTGTTTAACATAAAAGAAGTTGAGAATTTAAACCTTTTACACGTAATTAATGCATAAGTAGCTTCTCATTTTCGATACTAATTTTTAATCAATTTAATAATCTAATCAATTTAATCAATTTAATCAATTTAAAGTTTATTGCTCCAGATCCATTCATTTTTTTTTAACGCTATCTGTGAACTGGTCCAGTATGTCGGAACTTAGGTCAATGTATTACTACTACACTGTTAACTATGAATTGATTTATGTAATAAGAATTTTCTGTGAAATTAGTGAAATTAGTGAAATTAATAAAGGTAATATCACATTTTGTGATGACAGTGACAAAAGGTAACACACCATTGAAAAAAAATGATGACAATAGATGATGTAAATTGACGAATTACTGTATGTAACTAAAATCAAACAAATGAATATTTACACATAATGTCAAGAAAACATAAAATATCATTTTGCGTACATTTACACGACGGACAAGAATATCATGTTTCATCTATATATAATCTATATATAATCTATATATAATCTATATATAAAAAATTAAATTTTTATGTGTACAACTCTTAAACTTCCGACCCTATTAAAATAATTTTATTGTAATTTATTTAAATTATTCATGCGAATCTATGAATATTGTTAAAATTCTCTTTAAAAAATTTTGATCACACGCATTAATAAAAATAGTAAACATTATTAAGATTCGTAATCATAACTTTTTGACGGTTATATCTCTAACGGGTTAAGGAAAATCGAATATACATAGACAAATTCTTCGAATATTGATCCACTTAATGTAATTCTTTTAATTTTTTTTACCCTATATGAGTATCATCATTGTAAATATTGATTAAATATACACAAATAAGTACTATGACATATTTGTTATTAAAATGTGTTGAATTAAAGTTTTATTGGAATTCGTCAAAAAAAATTAAAAAAATTTAACGTTAATAAACCAACGATCAAATATTAACAATTTGGGAATTCACGTGTATAATATGAAACAAGTATTACGCACATGTGTAGGTACGTACGTACGAACGTACGTGCGTGCATGCGTAATAAATTCATTTGATAGTATCACAAAATTTTAAAAAATTAAATTGACTGGATGAATTTTTTTTATTATATTGTCATATGTTACAAATTTGCCGAATTATTTTGCATGACCTATTTATACGTAAAACTGTGAAAATGTATACAATAGTTTAGAGTAAAAATAACGTTTTAAACCTTTTTTTATTTTTTTTAAAAAAAATTCTTTAACCATCTATTAAATTTAGAATCATTCAAATTGAATTATTCAAATTCTCAATTTCATTAGAATTTATTAGAATTTATTAGAATTTATTAGAATTTATTAGAATTTATTAGAATTCGAATTTAATTCAATTCTTGAAACTTTTTTTAACTCTTTAAAATAAATGAAAAAAAAATAAGGCTCGTACTTACGTACATCAAAAATAAATACATACTAATACTGTAATAGTTTAGAATACCGATACGTAAAAAAAATAGTTTAGAATACCGATACGTAAAAAGAAACCCTTGTTAACCATTTTGGAAAAAAAACAAAGGTAAAGGCTTGTCTAGACCAATTTTTGTACACCAAACTGTAATAACGTAAACTTGATTTACTTAAATCCAATTTCTCGGTATCTTTGTCTAAATTATGATTAAATATGACGCAATATGAGTAGATCAGGTATGATCATATGAAATGCATATATGATTTTCCTAGCACAGACCCGCCTTTTTTTTTTTAATGTTTATTATGATAATAGAAGATAATCGACTAAAGATGTTATACGTTACACGATGCCAATTTTAAAAAAGATGCTTGCAAATTAAGGCGGACAATTGACAGTTATTTGCCACGTTTTGACTAAAATACATAAACATATGTGTACACATATAGCATGTATGGAAAAGAATGGAGATTCTTTCGATAACGATAAACATTGACAAAAAAACGTTAAATAAAAATATAAAAATTTTATACTGTATAAAAAAAATAGACTTTCGAATTGAATTTTTCTCATAACTGATTTTAGTATATTAAAAGAATTATTTAATAATTATTAAATTAAAATTTAAATTTAATAAAAATTTTTTTTAATCCTGCAAAATCTAATGCAATTCAAATTGTCAAATGATTCGATCGATTTATACAAATTTATACAAGTAAATAAGTAAATAAGTAAATGAAA